CCCTATTTATGACCAAAATGGCCAAAATCAGCTAAAATCGATACCCTATTTATGACCAGAACGGCTGAAAATCCATACCCTTTGGAGCCGCACATACTTATATATCCCATATAAAGGAGTACCGCCCCCAGGGATTTATAAAGGTCTGAGTATTCCAATGGCAAATCGTACAATACAACTTGACACCTAAAAGAAATACATAATATATTACCCGGGGACGTGATGAATTCATAATTTTTCCGCTCCGTAAAAGAAATAGCATTGCGAAAGTTACCCCTGAGTACTGTAATGCCAAAGTCTAAGCTGCATAACATTTGACGAAGTTTTGTCAAATAACGTTTCCTCAGTGAAACTGTCTCGTTTCAAACTGAAGTCTCGTTAGCCTGACAAAGTATTAGGATTGAAACGAACTTTAGTAGAGTCCGATAGAGTCTTGATTCGAACGGAGTGTTTTCATCTTGTACCAAACAAGCGCGTTAAATCATGGCCTCAACTTCAGCCATTCCGCCGTTCGACTTTTGCATTTCTGTCCTGGGAAGCGGAGGCGTTGGTAAAACATCTCTGCTGAGGTCGTTTCTCGAGCAAGACTTCAACGAAAAACACGTTCCAACTCTTGATGACTACTACGTTCATAGAATGGCAGTAGATGGTACACACTTCACAGTTTGTTTTGTGGATACCGCCGGTTCATACTCCTTTCCAGTCATGAGGAAACTAGCGCTGGATTCAAGCCAGGGATTTATCGTTGTCTATGCTTTGGACAACGTGGCTTCGTTCGAGGAAGCAGTGCACACAATGGAGGAAATTTCTGCGCTTCGAGAGAACAGCGAGGATCTAGTGCCCGTCATTCTAGTTGGAAACAAGCTGGATATAGATGTCAACGAACGAGAGGTTACAGCGTGGCAAGGACATGGTGCGCTGTCGGTTCTGTTGCGTTTGGAAGGAGAGTACATCGAGACGTCGGCTAAAACTGATTTCAGAGTGGAAAAAGTCTTCATGGAGATGATCAGGACCTTAATATACAATGCCAGAGAAGTGAACAAAAAAAGGCTGATGAAGAGTAGAAGAAAGGGACTCCGTGGAAAGGAGAGAAAATTTAAGCAACGAGGAGGAAGATCGTGTAGTTTAATGTAAGAAATGGTTCTTTTCGCCCCCTCTTGGAGAGGACGTTTTGTTTACGGAGATATAACAGAGATATTTATTTTGGTTAAAGTTATATTACTTTCATAATTTAATATATACACATACTTAGGATATTATTCTCGTGTTTATAATTTATTATATGTTGTAAATATTATTCCAGGGTCAATTTCATTAAGATATTCCTTCTTTTATCATTCGTAGAATTCCATTTCAAACTGTCTTGCGCAAAGCACACCTATGAATATATATTGTCGTCTCAGATTCAAGTACAGTGATTATTTTAGCAAGTAAAATTTATGTAAAAAGAGCAGTATTTTAATAAAATGCGTTATTATTCTGAAAATGAGATTCTCCGAGTGTTCTTACGTAACTTTTATATACTGCTAATACACAATTGTTGTCATGTGTTTGATGCGACGTCGGGGCGCAACACCAATAAGTTAATTGGGTTAGCCCATATCACAACACCTTACACAGGCGAGAATATTTTGCGTAATATTGTTGAAACTGCTGGCAAGTTCCCACGTTTGCAACAACAAATACACTGAATACTTATGACAACCCTTCCCCCTCCCTCGGGACTTTTCGGTACAACGTGACCGATTCTACCCATTGTCTGTTTTTTTTAGTAAGGGGTGGCGAATAGTAACTGCGAGACTTTGCGGCTAGACTAGCGTTCATCTTTGCGAACCCGAGAAATTTTGACTTATTCAATCGCGAAACCCAGACTTCAAAGTCTTGTACGTGAGCTCAAGATGTTCGGGTTTCAGGACATTCAGATGTGACAGTCATTCAAATCGGTACCTCGGGATTCTTGGCCCTTCAAAAAATCGAGACTGCGTGACAGCTTTGTGAGAACGATAAAAAACGAGACAGTGAGACCGATAAAAAACGAGACAGTGAGACCCGAAATGAAATTCGACGAAAATTTTGAGAGACCCATAAAAAAATCAGTTGTAAAACCCATGGGTTAAGAAGGACAATTTGCCACCCCCTTAGTACTGTCTTTTGACGCACTGGGAGCGAGGTTGATGTTAAGTTTTCAAGAAGATTCTCGAATATGACCTTACCACTTCAAAATTGCTTCCAAAACTTCGGAGCAATAAGTATTGCCGACTGTTGGTGTTCAGAATATTTTTCAAAACATTTGACAACAGAGTTGCGCGTGATGGTGCAGTATACCCCAAGTAAATTGTAGCTCCCGAATATTTGTTTGTAGCCAACCGATTCCTTTTTAAAATACTGAAATAAACTTTTTGGATTCATTTGTGTTTTCTTGAAAATTTAGACTGTTTGCAGTCTGTGGTTCTTTAGAAAATCAGGAAGTGGTTTTAAGACGGGATGGGATTGGGACGAGACCAAGCGCCCCAACCTTTCCTCGCGTACGTTCGCGGGGATCGGGGATAAACGCCCACCGACCGGACCGCATATCCGACTGCAAGAGGAAAGACAAACCAGTTGAGTGGTCTGTGAACATTAAGCAGTAATTAGCAGGAGGAGAAGATTTTCCTCTCATAATCGGTAAGTGTATTAGTACCCACAAAATATGTCACAATTACAACAACAACAACAAAAACTTTTATTTCACGCCAGAGGTTAGAGATTTCAATGATATAGAGTGAAAACAACAATTGTGGAGGTGCAGGCTACCCGAAATTATAACCTAAGAGTTGAAAATGCCAGGCAGCCGGTTAAAAAAAATATACATTTTATGTTTAGGTCAGAGGTACAAAACGAAACGCACTAAACGCAAGCTACAGTCCTGCATGTTTTCGCGTTTCTGGAAACATTTTTAGGTTGTAAATCTGCTCGCCTCATGGCCAATCAGGATGGTGCTGGTCATCCAAAATCAGTAACATGAAACGACGAGAAGTATTCGGTCTACTCCCCATGGATAGAATGCTACTTAGTTTATCGTGGAGTCTATGCCCAGAGCATTTCATTCACTGGTGTTAATTTGTATGGGTTATTGACCAAGTGTGAGGTCAAGATGGCTGGATATTGGCCAAGTTCTTTTTTTGTGTGTTTATGGACCGAGA